AGATGTTTACTTTTACCCTCGGTCGTCGATGCATTTTTCATTTATGCAATTTAGCAAGAATACTTGCGTTTATGTGACAAATTAAAAGTCCAGGAACGGTCGCCAAAGAAATCGTTTTTCAGTTTAGATGACATTTCAAAGAATCGTTATTAAAATCATTCCAGTGAATAAATCCCATTTGAACCACGCAGAGAACTTTTTCTCACAAAATTCTCTTTGAAGTTCGTTTCTCTTGAGAAAATAAACAAATTGACAGCTGTTTAGTGCGGTCTGTATATTAGCCTACCAGATTGCGATATTAGCGACAATTGTGGTACAATACAATACAACATTTTTATTTAAACCGGTGGGTTTTAAAAGCTGAGGCCCAGGTCAAACGCCGTACTTCACATTAGCCGAACCTAATGACAGTTTGGGTCGACTCAAATGACTAAGACCGCCTGTTTGAGTCAATCGTCGAACTTAATTCAGTCGAACCGAACTGCTAGACCAAACAAATAACAAAAGCGGTCTTATTGGTCAGTTGTTTTTCAAGGTAATGTCAAAATGGCGCTTTTTCGTGGCTTCTTTCCCTTCCAGCCATTTCCTCCGACAGCATGTGTTGAGCACTGTGTGCCTTGCTCGAAAGAAGCCTTCGAGCAAGGCACACAATACGCAACAAACTTTCCAGCTTTCCAACCTGGAATATGGTCGTTTTGTTCTGGAAGTAAGCATTTGTTGCACAACGGCTCTCTACAACGAAGGCAGCGATATTTCGTCGGGTTCAAACACGACATACAAGAATCTTCACCATCTTCAACACCAGCGCGATAGGCAGCCATGTTGGAAAAAACTGTGAACGAGGCTAATTCATACATGAACATAACTTAACTTTGATTATCGTTTAATTATGCGTTTGGTTCACTCGTGTGAAGATCGACGTTTGACCCAAAGTCGTTCTTCAGGCGTTCTTCACGGCTGGCCAGCCGTGAAGAACGCCTCAGCCGCTCCAAATAAAATTAGTCGAACTTAATTGGGTCAAACGCCGAACTTCACAGAGCCTAATTGGTTGAATTAGGTTTGGCTCATGTGGAGTAGGGCGTTTGACCCGGGCCTAATATAGCTTATGGGGCCGCGTGAAAGTGTTAATAAAATAATAAAATTAAAAATTATAAAAACTGCATCAGTGTAGTCAATAAAAAGTGAAATATGTACAATAAAAGACATGAATATAGTCAGTAAAAGGCGAAATCCCTTTCCATTTTGGGATGGCCCATTTGTGGTGACTCTTCATTAAAGTTCAAGTTTCTGAGGGCATGAGACTTTTTTTCCCCTTAATTTGGCGTAGTCCCTGGCGCTGACAGCGGGTGGTTCTGAAATATTCCAAACAATGGATCCTCTGTGAGAAATAGAAATTTTCATTGAAGTTTCAAAACGTTGTACGCTAACACGATGTTCATGATGGAGGTCATCAGGGGACTTAGACTCTTCTCTTTGGATTATATGTTCCAAGCATGAGTGACTTATGCGTTTGCAGATATTATAAATTAAGGTGGCTACAGGTCTGAAAACGAATTCCTGGGTAAAAAGCGGGTGCGTTTGATCAGATTGAGCTTGTTGACGAAGCCTCTCTTGAGCTCTGATATGTGTTTTGTCCACGTAAGCTTGTTGTCAATAATTACACCCAACACTTTAGAACTTAAGGACCCCTTTTATGAGATGCTGGTTAATTTTTAAACTACCTAAGGGACCGATAAAATGATTTTGTTTAACGGGATCATTCCCTCGCGCTTTTCGGGACGTGCCACTAGGGAGTTATGTTTGTACCGGAAGGCGAGTTCTTCTAGAGCTTTGTTCAGCGTTGTTGTGACCTGGTCTACAAATTCACCAACACATTCCATGGTAGTATCATCGGCATACTGGAACGTCGTTGCAGTGTTAACTACTTTCGGTAGATCGCTTGTGTACAAGGCGAAAGGTATGGGCCCGAGTACGGAGCCCTGTGGTATACCGTGTGCAACTTTGATATTCTCAGAGGGTACGCCATTAATTACAGTATACTGTTCCCGTTCAGACAGATAATCTCTTAGCCATGCCAGTAAGTTTCCCTTGATTCCAAAGTTGTGCTCTAGCTTGTGAAAAAAGATTGAGTGCGAAACGCAATCAAACGCCTTCTGAAGTCTATGAATACCTCGCCCACAACTAATTTGTTATCGATTGCTTATAAAAAGTAAAAATAAAATTGGATGAAATTTCTGGAGGGTTTGAAAAGTCGGGAATAAAATCAAAGTGTTTGACATGGGATGGAATTCGAAGCTTGGTCCATCTACAGTTTCCTGCCGTGACCGATACCGTGCTACTAATTTGGTTCCAAGACCAAAGTCGCTTTCGTGACAGTATGCTCGGAGAAAGCTGGCACTAGTTGGCGCAGACAAATTTCAGCGCGACCGCCACATTTGAGACCTTTGTCAAGTTTCCTTCAGTAGTGTGGAGGGCTGTGTTGTTGTGGTGGTGAGTTTAACCTCGTTGTAAAGATGTTTTAGCTCCTTAACTTAGATGTTGATTGTTTAGAATCGATATATCTCTGTAACTTTTCAAATCGTAACTAAATCTTTAATCATGGCCGGTGATTCAACTGAATGAGAAAGTCGAGTTTCGCAGTATTGAACGATATCTTGGTGCTACTTTGTTATTCGTGAGGTTTACGTCTTTATTCATTATCTTCGCGTCGTAGGCTTTTGATTCGACTAAGAAACTACAAATCCTTCTAGCGGTTGAATCTTTGGAGCTAAGGATAAAGTTGAGTTGAAATTCATTGTTAAATTATTCATATTAGCCAGGTAACTGTAAGGTTATAAAGTTGAACCAGGGCGATTCATAAGGCAGTAAACGAAATAGAACGAAAGATCTTTTTGGAGCTCTTACTGTTAAATCGTGTTTTACAAATTATAGGTCCCAAAAAAGAAGGCTGCTCCATTTACATAGTTATTAAGTCATCACCACATATCGGAGCTGGAAAACACAGTCCTGTACATTTGTGTACTGTGGATACAGCATACATGAATAATGATTTTTTCGATTAATATCAACACAGCATCTGCCAGCCAATGAGATGTGACCAATGCGTTTGTGATTTCAAAGAAAGTCATACGATGCAAGAAATGGAGTAATTACAGCTATTAAAAGTGACCTTGTTACATTTTATGCAATGCACTGCTCATGCGATTGTATTAAAGCATGATCTGTGAGCAAACTTCAGTTGGGAGTTTGCATTTTATTTGAATAGATCATGGGCCGTAGAACCATGAATTCTTGTCCTTGCTTGTTGTCTTATTTGTTGTTCATCTTACAAATGATACTTTGTAATGTGTGAACCCAATGCTACAGAGGTTAACCTTCTGACCCCCTGATCCCAAGAGTTTTGTTCACATCCATAGTCGTTTCAAACCCAGTCATTTTGTTCCCAAGTGCAGTCAATTTGTACCCAAGTTTGAGTTGGTTCGTACCTGATTCCTACTTAGACTGCATATGGATTCACAGGTGGTTGACTAGGATCCTCTAACAAAAGTTATTCGAAGCAGGTATATTGCTATTCACAGTAAGAAACCAACCTTCACTTTAAACATACTTAACATGGATAAACATATAATTTTAGTTTGGGTATGAAATGACCAAGCTGGGTACCAAATGACTTAACAAGGTACGAAACAACTGGGTATGAAACCACTATGGGTACAAAACAATTGGTAAATCCACCAAATATGATGAATGAAAGGCTGGCAATTGTGTGTAAAAATGAACATAATAGGGCAAAGAAGATGGTTGGTTAGTCTTATGTTGAGATATACTTGAACTGTAATTAGAGATTGATTATATTTTCTTAAGAATTGAGGGATCAATCCTTGCCTCTCTTTTAGAACGTGTCTATAAAACCTACATACAGGCTGTACCTTTTGCTTTTTTTTTTTTACACAGTTAGCTATACTGAACTCAGAGGTCACCAACACAGGTTGAATATGATTATTTCCTCTTGAAGTCATTAACAGAATGACTACAAAATACATTGTACCGCACCAGAGGTGTTGTCTTCGATAGCAGTTGTTGGTCACAATGGAAGAGGAGAAAACAACGAAACGTTCTCCAAGAAAAGCTAAGAGAAAACAGTTTTTTGACAGTGGTGCTGTGTCTAATATAAAAGGAGAGAAATTTAGAGCATGCGAGAAAGCTGGCTGCCCAGCCTCGAGACCAACTTGCTGTGCAAGATTTGATGAAACGTGAGTATCAGATTATATTGGTTAGAGTAAGAGGTGTAGTTAGCCATGTAAATAACATTTTGAATTAGTTTATTAAAATGAGATTATGTCACAGACCTGATTACGAACCAGGTAATGGGGTAATTTGGCTTTATCAGCTCAGTTGATAAAACCAAATTACCTAGTACATCCTACTGGTGCAGCACCTCAATTTCTTTAGAAACTTACCCCCTTCATTCAGGTAATGGTGTAGTTCACCACAGTCACAGAATCCGAAGGCCCTGAGGTTCCTCATGGGAACTCAGACTTTTTTCTGAACTTTTTATATTTGTTTCAGAAAGAAAAGAAAGACCTTTTTTCTCTGTTATTTGTTATTGTTTATAGCAATGTTTAGTATGAAATGATAAGTGTGCAGCTGTTAAGTTTTGAGAAATAAATTGCATAGAAAATTTAATTCAGCTTCTAAGTGAGAATTATGAATCAATTTAATCAATCATTTAAAATTGGTGTATGATCAATTGTTTAATTTTTAATAAAGCTGTGCTGGATGTGGCTATACTTCAAGATGGTACCACATGTCGGATGGGGAGCATTTCTGTAATGCCTGTTTTGATTACATGTATCGTAGGTAAGGCAAGCTACACTGTATCTAAAGTTAGTGCTAAATCAGGATGACTGGTTTAGTAATGTACTGAGTTGTTCTCAGAATTATCACAGAAAGCCCAAAACCTCACAACTCAGTCATGCCCTTGCAATTGTGTTGCAGGGGTTTCATTAACATTTTGAGCAGGAGGGCAACTGATTTTCACAGGCNCTGGCTTCCGCGGCATGAAGCGACTAGGAGTATTTCTACTCCCCCTTGGACAGAATGCTAGTCCATCACAGGGTTACTCCCAGTATTAAATTCACTGGTATCCATTTATATTCCTGGGTAAAGAGAGGCACTGTGAGAGTAATTTAAAAGTGTTTTGCCCAAGAATGCAACACAGTGTCCCTGGCCAGGGATTGTACCTGGACCACTTTCTCAGGAGTTGCGGCGGCCTCGTCGTTAGTGTGCTTGACTCCAGATCAAGTGGTCCGGGTTCGCGTGAACAGGGAAAAAAGAAAGCAGTGAGCCCATGCAGTATTCCAAAAGATGAGGTATATGAAAAACTCAGAGAGTGTTGTGGTACATAAAATTAACATTTTATTTGTAAGATTTATCCAGATACTCACAAGGCCAGTCAAAGTTCACAAGTTTACTTTGAATTCCAGAAATATACAAATTTTTGAGAAAACAAAGTTACCAGGTTGAAGTACTGCTATTTCCCTAGGGGGTATGCTTGATAAAGACCTTTGCAGGCTGCTCCCTACCCCCCCTCCCCAATCACCATAGTTGTCACCGGTGCCCCTCACAATTTTGTCAGTGTGCCCATTCTTACTCAAGGGTGGAGAGGGTAAAGTATTTGCCCAGCAACACATAGTGGCTATAGGGCCAGGGCTTGAACTTGAACCTCTAGATCCAGAGTTCTCCAACTTTGAGGCCACTAAGTCGCCACGAGACAAGACAGTGACAAATATTTATTTCTATGAGCAGTAATAGCAATAATTAATGACAGAGTGCAACTGATGTAATATTTGTAACTGACTCCAGGCGCTATAACCGCAAGTTCAGAATTAGAAATAAGGACGTCGAAGCACTGATTAAGAGCACTGGATTTCGTGTTGATTTCCAATAGATTTTCTTTATAACAATGTACCAATGCTCAAAACTGTCAAACTAAAATATAAGCGAAAATATCTAGTCTAAGCGACATGAAAGGACAAAGCCGAACAATAATTGGATGTGATAAAAACATGAATGCAGGAAACAGCAAAACAACTAAACTAGATATAAATCGACAAAATGAAACTAAGAAAGGCAGAAACATGTGCTTACCGATTGTCCTCTCTGTACGCCTGAGTAGTTATATACGCAAGATCAAAAACTTCACAACAAACACAATAAACTTCAAGAACACAAACTTAGACCATACACACAGACTACCAGTAAAGACGCACAAGGTTCTGAAATACTATCTGACAGAAATGTCACTAATATCTAACCTAGACAGTTACAATATTGTTCTCAACACATTTTTATTTTTGGTAGAGAATATCAGCTGTGAACAGTGCAGAGTGGCTGGATAGCTTGACAGAACCTCCTCTGCTTCAAAACTGCCCTGCAGCTCAATTCCTTGGGTCCTATTTTCCGGATGGTGTTGGCCTGAGCCCCACGTCAAACAACTGGAGGTGCAAAGTGGAAGATTCTGCAGGTGATGAATTTGATTAGAATTTAATAAATTTAATGTGTAGTGTGGTCTGCTACTCAGCCAAAGGATTTTTGTTTTCAGATGCGGGGAGATGCAATTTCTTGGAAGTTAATATGCTAAACTTTGAATGAAAAAGTCTGGATTGAACCCTTCTCACCCTTACATCAGTATGCATATTCTCCATACTGTTCTCTATACATTTTATAAGAACTCTCTCATGGGTCATCACCCTATTAAAGAGGTTGATACTTCTAGTTGCATCATGGTACGGAAACTTTCATAAACTTCAGCAGAGTAAAGTCTGCTCTGAAGCTGACTTAATCCTTCTCCTCTATCATTTTTGCAGGATATGTTCAACTGTTTTATCATCCAGAGAATACACACACAGCATACACTATCCGCCCAGATGTCATGGAACCTGAAGAACAAGAAACCTTCCCTGAATATGTTAGGTACCTTTTGCTAATTGGTTATTAATGAGTATTAATCTGATAAAGTGTAAAATTTACACTTTATCAGGAAATTTCTTCCTTTAATTCATTGAAGAAAATAGAAACAGCAACAAAACAACGCGTCAGTTTGGTACTGCTTCGCATACTTCTGTCACGCATTCCCCGTAAATAAATATCCGCGAAATTCACCCGCACTGAACAACATAGATAACAGTTTGGCGTTTTGGATAATAAATAACTTATTAGCCGTTTTTTCGCATAGTATCACTGAGTATTTTTACTCCTTTTTTGTATTTTCACACGCCCTGCAGGCTCGTCAAATTACGGTACAACTTGTAAAAATACTTAGCGATACTACACAAGAAAACTTCTAAT